CACACGTAGTAGATGGCATGAAGGTCAAGGACAAAAACACTCACCACATAGACACAGCTCAAGGAGATTACGCACACCAACCCACAAGCATGGATCACAAGGCCCACATAAGAGAAACAAGGGACACAAGCCACGGGACAGATACGAATCCTCGGACAGAGGGAGATCACGACACAGACACAGGAAACATGACAGTAGTGATAGCGAAGGCAGGGACAGCTCGAGTGAGCACTCCTCAGGAACAGACGCCACCGACGACGATCAATACACTTTCAATAGTAAAACCCTGAAACTAATGGGCAAAGCGCTCGTGAGAATTCCCTATTTCGATCCACACAACAAGAACAGGGATATGCACACTCACATCACAACGGTAGAAGCAGAAGCAATGATCCGGGGTCTGGGTAAATCAGCAGAAAAGTCGTGTTTATTATCAAGGAGCCTACATGAATCCGCCAGACCATGGGTAACATCCCTGCCAAATAGGGTCAAGAGTGATTTCAAACAATTGAGCCGAGCAGTAATTAAGAGATTTGGGGAATACTCCACATGATCTGAATGATTGAACGCGGCAAAATTGATGACTCAGCGTGTAGACGAAGACCCACGAGATTATCTCCTACGCTTCAAGAGAGCATATTACGCAGGTGACGTGGACAACGCCCAGGAAGAAGGGAAAATATTAAAAGTTATGTTCTTCCAATCACTAAGACCTGAAATAATGAGAACAGTAGGAATGATACTGGACCCCGAGACTGCCTCCCTACGCCAGATCGAAAGCAAAGCCCACACGGCCTGGGTGAACGAACGGAGAACCACTAGCATTGCCAAAACACACATCATCACCAAAGATAAAGAACGCCTCGATCTGGAGGGAAGCGAATTACCAAGAAATAATAACACCACACGGAACGGACATGAAACCCCGCAGGAGAAGGTGCCAAATCCACTAGAATCAACACCCATCAGCAACATGCTGAATAACGTTCCACGTGGGGAGAGAAGTGAGGCCAGAGGAACCTGGCACCCACGGCCGCCACAGCCCTGGAATACAGAAGAGGGCGGATCTTGGAACTATGGAGGAGGGAGAGCGAGTGACGGGTCATACCTACCCCGCGGAGGCCGACGCCCACCGAGCCAATCACCATATCGTCTCCCACTGCCGCCTCCACTAGCAATAGGGCATAGACCACAGTCAGCCAACAGGAGTCGATATGCCCACCACAGTCGGATGGAAAGAGAACACCAAGAGAGTATGAAGACTCCCATGCGAACAGCAAAGGCAAGAATACCAACGGAACACACACCCAACGCAAAGATAGCCCAAGTGAACATAAGAAACTCAAGAAACCCCAAAGCAGTCACCGAAGTGGTACCAGAGGGTAAAGGGTACCATCTGGGGGAATTAATTCCCGTAGGACCGGTCGGACGAGTCCACGTGGAAGTAATACTGCAAGACACCCTGACCAGCCAGGGCCTTTGTGATACTGGAGCAGAAATATCAATGATATCCAGAGACCTATTTGATGAACTCCAGACGGCCCTCCAGAGGAAGAATGAAACACTACAGATGATGCCAAGTAGGCTTACCTACTCAGGATGCGAAGGGACCCACATGCGACCATTGGGCAAGGTCATGATGAAGCTCACGTTCAACAAAATCAACATGGGCCATCCACTATATGTCGTACAGAACCCAGGAAAAGAGCTGATCATTGGAATCGAACTATTGAATCGCCTTAAACCCATTGTGAACCTTGAATCCCGACAAATATGGGCACAGTCAATGCCGGAGCAGCATAAGGATCCAGAAGATGAAGAAGCCGGAAAAGACTCTACGGGAATTCAAACGATAACACAAGAACCCAACGACTAGTCACAGACAATCAAGAACGAAACCAAGCGTCCCGCAGAAATACAGACCACTCAACTACTGACCAACTATGAATAAGTGCGGTACTGCGTGAACAAGTCAAGTATACTCATTTATTATAAGGTTAAGGTTTTGATTTAGATTAGCATATGCATGTTTCAACGACTCTCTCTCTCACCAACAGCTCGCGTTACGCGGCGGAATTAACCAAAGGTGCTGGTGTCAAAGTGAAACCACGCAGTCATTGATGAGACTGTGTTGATACGGTGTTGTAATTCCAAGCCGAAAGCTGTATCTTTAGAGTTAAGGTTTAATTAGAAATGAATTGATTAATGCAGAAGTGGTTGTGTGATTCTTTCCTGAAATCTATGCATAAGATCTGGTTCTGCGATGAGATATGAACTTGGGTGACCTAACATAAACACACTAATCCATACTCAGTAAATGTTAAAGCGAGAATGATATGAACTTGGGGACCTAACATAAACTCTAATCCATACTCGGTAAATGCTAAAGCGAGAATCATTGTATTATCCTGATCGATAATACGAAGCTAAACTACGAAGCCGAGTTGACTCTTGACACTAGCATAACTGCATACGATTAATTGCATTATCCCGATTGATAACACCACCTCGTCAACGAGGCGGGGCCTGATTATCATAAAGGCTGTCATTGACATAACCACACCCACTCGTATAATTAATACGATTATCTCTCGAATTAGCATAGTTTATACGCATAATTACACAAGTTAACATAATTTCGGATACATTATGCAAATTTCAAATTATATTTTATTTTCATTCAATTTTCATAACACCCACATATACAACACAGGTGCGTGACGTCATTTATCGACGGCCCCATATCACACCGCTCGGCCACGCAGCTCAAGACAATAATTCGTTGTCAACCGCTCAGAAACCGCAATATAACGGTGCGTGTTCCGCGTTGTCGCGTAAAGCGTTCGCGAATGGAAGAACCGCGTTTATCGCGAAAACGCGTGGCGTGTGAACACGCGGTAGGCAAAGACCTACCGCATGTGAAATTCACTCAGCTATGGAATATTTATTGCTGTTTACTTTTACGTAGATACAAAATATAATTGAATAGCTTAGTTGACAATGTATGAATAATCAAACACAGCAATTCATTAATGCAAGGCCGTATTATCCAATAGCACAATAGGCACTGTGCCTAGGGGCTACGAAAACAATTTTAACGATACAAAATGTAACCAAGATATCTTCTTGAATAATTATAAACACCAGAGATTAACCTTTCGATATTCATTTTATTGCAAAATTAGCAATATCTTGAAATGGTGTTTTTTTGCACAATCTCATTGTCAAGAGCGTGGCGCAAGTGAAAATCGGCATTGTCCTATGGTTGATCAGAGTTTTTTTGTCAGCTTTAGCGAGTGACAGCGGCGGTAGTAGTAACATGGGCAGCAGTACCAACTGCAGAAAATTATCACCGAAGGCCTACGAAACAGAAGTGTCCAGAGCCTCCAATAACCTTAATTCCAGCCCTGCATTCAATGCCACGTGCAGTTTTGTCCGCAGACATGGTTATAATAGGCCCCGCCCAACTAGAACGTGGCCACGCCCATTCCGTGTTCAGGCCTCGCCCACCGCTCTGACCACGCCTCTAACCCCCCCCACCACCCCGCCCCCGAGGGTACGAGCAACCCGGATGTTTACTTACGCCCATCACGCACTTCCGATTGCGGGTTTACAACATTACAGCAAATCACACGAGGGTGACCTTAAAACCGTTAATTAAAGAGTACACGTGCCTTCGACTTACGTATATCTATCGCATGACTGGAATTCTCACATATAATTTAATGTGCATGCGGTGGCAAGCCCGGAATGTGACTTTAGTAGTTTGTGGATACCCTTGGGCCGTCCACGTGGAAACGTAGCCGTTTGTGCCTCTAGGTTGCAGTACAGCAAGCAGGCTGCAGAACTAGTGTTTGTGAGTGTAGGCAGTGCATTAAACAAATAATTATAATTGGCAAACCCGCCTGGCTTTAAATATTTCTCGAGTGAGGATTTCCTGGGTCAAAGGATAGCTTAAGACGTGTTGGGAGCGATTAAACGTCATTACAATAAATCGACTGTTATTGCTGGATAAAGGTATTGTCGTAAAACATGGCACTCGCAGAGAATGCATTGCGCCGTAAACGATTAATAAAGCACACGCAGCGTGTATAGCTTGCACCAGGCATCTCGTGGATTGCGGAATGAACGTGCAGGGATGATCGAGAGGTGGCACTGGTTGATGTGGAATGTGTACACATTAGGGCGCAGCTCCAGTAAATTCGAACACCCTGCGTCTTGTGGTGAAACCCCATGTACGCAATTGGAGAACCGCCGGCAGTCTAGTACTCGGATCACCTCGGTCATTGCCATACCCAGTCGTTGGGAGGCACCGCAGTAGTTGAGACGTTCCCTACTTTGCCCAGTATGCAGAAGGCCGCAAGTTCGAGCCCGACCATATTTGGAATTTGCAGGTCTCTCTCCAGGTCCTGCGGCTTTTTGCTTTAACATGTACAAGTCTCGCGTTTTAGAGTACGACTGATAATATATTTCTACGTGGTTGAGCCATCATGTGTAGTACAGGTCGCTTCTGAAAAAGAGCTACATAGCTGTGGGCCTTACCTGGTAAAATTAGTTTATGCCCTCTGGTCTCGTCATTCCACAAACTCGTACTCGCACCAGCACAGCAAATGTCATTGCTCCATATCCAGAGGTCGTTCCCTCGGGAATGTTCCTTCCTTTGGCTACCACTGTGTATCAGTTTCGACCATCAGCACCCATCCCTTGTGTTTTCTCCAACCCCACCCCATTATTGTGACGTTCACCATCTACTGTTTGGTGAAAACCACTCACCTGCATGCTTAACCTTGTGCACTTTTTTAGATGTTCCATTCTATTTCAGAAATCATGTTTCTGATTCATGTCAATATGCAAACTGAAAACATTTTTAATTCCACTTGCAAAAACACTCCCACACCTGCTGTTTTGATGCCGATCTGGCCGAAAATAATTGCCCTGGGTACACACATTCTGGGCTGTGTACACAGGTTACAAGGTGGCAGTGGATATCCACACCAAGCTACAAATCCAAGGACATTGTTTATTTCAGTGAAAATAGGCACTTTACAATTTATAAATCACTTAAACTGAAGCACACAACTTTGCCCATGTCCATCAGGAGCTGTAATATTTAAAAACACTTGGCCATATCAAATTTTACATCACTACACGCTGAAAGTTTCAAGTTGGCCAAACGCTGTGGTCTACAAGTGTTTGTTGCCACAGCCGTTTTGACAAATAAAAACATTTAAATAACACCAACGTGTACATGAACAAAATCCGCAAAAGGACTCAGGATCATGTTGATGTAAAAATGAGCAACAGCACTTATTTCACACCGGTCCGACCTTTTTTTCCCATGTCAAAGGAAAATAAAACTTCCCTCCCAACACTTTAATTAGAACGCCAGCCTTCACACAATCCTTGAAAATCCATTGCAAACGGAGACAATCCAGAACAATTTTCACAAGACTTCCAGCACACTCAAAGGGGGAGAGGGGGGAATGTACCTACAACAAAACACACCGGTCTATAACATGCCAGGGGACTTCCAGATTTTACAAGGCCCACAAAATTCCTGGCAGCCAACTTCAATTGGGAACCCCCGTATGATTACAGTAGTGCAGTACTATCGCCAGAATGCTGGGCTAGCTGTAACATTAACGAAATTCAGCTGCAGACAGAAACCAGGAAAGAAGTCTGAAGTAGAGACATGCTACCGATGTGCTTCCAAGGTCCCAGGGGTGCAATGGACCCCCTCGCGCACCCCCTACGGGAGTCCCTCGAACACGCCGACGACGGCATCGCGGTCTGCATATCTTCCTCGCCCACCAAACCTGCAATTTTTATTTGATGTTACATTAATCACATGTGCAGGGATGTAATGCACATCAGAAACCACATGCAGAAAAGGGATATCTTAAATCAAATTAAAATGGCAGGGGAGAAATTCCTCACAAAAGCGGAGAACAGGCCTAAAAGGCAGTTTAACACCAATATTATTCATAATAAAGGCTTTTGGGTTAGATCGTCTGAAGGCCCCCAAAAAATAAGCAGCCAGAAACAATATCACTAAAGGAATGAGTAAGAGTTAATTGTTTCTTGAACTCACTTTGGAAATCAAAAGTGTTTGGAAAGAATCAGAAAAACAAGTTTTGTGACCTCCAGTGTGGATGGAGGAACCAATTACTAAAGAAGCAGCGCTCATGGTAGTCACAAAAGAAGAGTGATAAGCAAGTGAAGGAGGCGACTGACCACCGGTGAGCAATTCACTGCTGGATGATCAATGGGGCCAAACGCATTGGTCTACAGCAGGGGTGGGGAACCTTTTTTCTGCCAAGGGCCATTTGGAAATTTATAACATCATTCGCGGGCCATACAAAATTATCAACTTAAAAATTAGCCTGTTATATTTGGTCAAACATTTAATTAACTCACCCCTAATGTGATGGCTGGAACAGACCAAACGATTTTGCGGGCCTTATACGACCCGCGGGCCGGACGTTCCCCATCCCTGGTCTACAGCAAGACTTCACTACTACTCGGCACGTAACTCTCAATTACGGTTCATCCATTAAAATGCAACGTTATTCTTACGATACGCGCATCAAATTACATGCGAAACGTGCTAAATATGAACTAAAACGGTGAATTCGGAGAGTAAATTATATCCACGAAAAATCTGAGTAATATCAAAATTGGTCCTGCAGCCACCCGCCCCACCAGCCAGCATGGTGAAAAGCATGAGCAATCAACTCCCACGGGCGACACAGCGAGGAGAGGTCTTCACCCAGCAATCGACTGACAAGAGGACTCTGCATTATTGTAATTATGAGGGCGGCTGTGCACCTGGGTCGGTCGCCACGGAGCTCCTTCTCGCGCTGGTTCTGCTCAAACCGCTCGGCCATCTCCTCTAGCTCCTGCGGCACATCCTGACCGACGCACACATGCGCATAAAGACAAAGATGCCCCACCGTATAGACTTTAACAGACTGTTGGGGCAAGTGATGTTGTTCAAAACAAGTGCCATTCCCTGTTGTTCGGCAGTTTCTTGCCGAGTGGAGAACTGTCCACCCTGCATGGGGACCTGGAGCCAGAACCAGTCTACCCAGACCTGAATACCAGAGGTCGAAGCGGTAACAGTCCAGCTCCCGACAGGAGTGCCTAAATCACCAGTCTCTCCTTCATGCACAATGCCATACACAAAATAAGATTCTATAAAGAAACACACACATTATACACCTCACAATTAACTTGCATCTAAGCTACATTAACTTAACCATTTTAAAACATAACTACAACATTTCATACAAATCAAATGTGAAATTAAATAAATCAATGACAGTATTTTTTGTTTCACTGCACAGTGCCTAATAGATTAATAAAATACATTCACACAAACACAATGGGGGAAACTGTTGTCGAAAGGTGTAGATTCTCCTCTCCCTGGGCGAGGACTCGGACCATTCAGCCTCTATCCACTATGGTCACCACTCATGGGCAGGGCGAGTGAGAGTGAAAAGAGTAACCCAAAAAACCTCTTATGGAGAGTGAAGAGTTTGCGAGTTGTGGACACGACCCACAGACAGTGGGGTAAAGGGACGTTGAGTGGAGTTGCTTTTGAGATGACTTGTTGAAATGCTGTTGAGTTGAGATGTTGAATTGGTGAGTTGAGATGCTGTTGTGGTTGATGTTAGGTTTTTGTTGAGTTGATGTTGACAAGTTGTAGATGCCGAGTTATATTCGTCGCTATTCGCAGGCTGTTGAGTTGTATTCACAAACACGCATACAATCACATTCATTCAATAACTCACACCCGCACACACATGTATGTATACAAGACAGATCTCCCCCCGTATAGCCTGTAACAGACTGTTGGGGCAATTGCTGTCACCTATGAAAGCCAGAATGGCACAAGAGGGGGTGGGAGGCCAGCACCACGGCCAGCTGCCTTTGTCTCCCGAGTGGTGGTGTTTTTACACACCACACCAGGTACTCATTTGAAACCGAGTCGACCTAGGGGAGACCCAGGACCGGTAAAAATAATCGTCACTGATGTTGGCCTTGAGTGGGAATCGAACTTGGGTCACCAAATTCGTAGAGCAGTGCGCTAACCACCATACAACCGCACACATACATACACGGACATGCAAATCCACATGCACACATATACGTGCACCCACGTACCTATAGAAACACACATACCTGTCTGTATGTGTATAGGATCTGCTCATATTTGTAGCAGGCACACAAAGGGACAATTTAATGGGTGACAGCGTGAATCACCAGTCTTTCCTTCAAGGGTTTCTGGGTACACACCTAAAACAATCATGGTGAGACCATTCTGGCCTTCACCGACATAGAATAAGCCCAGGGGTGTTCAGAACTCACAGATAACATCGCCACACACATGACGGATGCGGGTATGAAGTCAATGGGACCACCTCCCACTCCTCTAAGTGGGGGAAATGGGAAGAGGGGTGGAAAGTGATTCGACGAGAGTTGAAAGGGAAAGGCAGAAAAGGGTTAGAGGAAAAGACAGGGCATCAGGCTATTTCCGGGCTACTCTTTACGCATGTGTAGTGACTGGAAATGTCACTGTGGTGCCGGGCCTGCGAGGCCACGGCGGGATGTATACTGTTGTGTGTACACTCCGGACACGGGGTGTAGTAGCAGCCCTCGTGGGGGGCTTTGGCGAGCGCTGGTTAAGCGTGGTGGCACCACGCACAGCGTGCGGTGCGGCTCCCGTTGAGAGAGCGAGAGTGTCAGCCAGCTAGGGTTACGTTGGAGGCATGATACTCTGGCTGACCTGGGCACATGTCACCGGATGATACTGAAGGGGGGCCCACCGGTGGAGGGGACCAATGGGTGGTCACATGGTCCAGGAAGAACTCTCGAGAGCCTTCGGGCAAGGGCGAGAGCTCGAGGTGGGCGGGGCGAGAGGCAGAGCCTGCCCCAGCCCGATATAAAGGGCCCCCCCCCCTGTGAGGGGCTTGGGGTTCTTACTGTTGGAGAGGCAGGAGATCCACGTCAAGCTTGAAGAATCCTCCAACCACGCGGTCCGGGACCCAGCTTTTGGTCCGGACTGGGATAGTGGAACCGTGTCTAGTTCCGCCGTAGTGTGGTTAGTTCGGTGGTCACCACCCGAGAGTTTGTTGTGTTAATAGCCTGAAGTATGTTGTGCAAATAGTTTAATAAAACATGTTGCTCCCTAAGACAACGTCTGCGACTCAGTTGGACTCACTACACGTGTTGGTAGATTCAATTAACACCCAAAAAAACCCACCCGTCTGGCACTTCCCGACATATACATTCTGATGTCTGTGTATCTGCGAGGCTATGGGCATGTGAGTATGTATATGTACGTGTCTGTGGATCCATCTCAGTCAGTCAACTCATAACTGGGTCTGTCCTCTGACCTACTGCCAGCAGTGAGCATTCTACATGACACGTAGCCTCCAAAAGTGCATCTTGCCTTACACAAACGCCATGGTGGCGTCACCGCTAACTTAGCGGCCAATAGCAACTGTGGTTGCCATTGTTGTGCACATGCAAATGTATTAACAAGCATCCTCAACCGATCGCGAGTCCTCTTCCCCTCACCTGCCCGGCCTCCTGCATGATGCCAATAAGGTCTGCCGCATGCCTCCAGTCATTTCGGGTCACCAAAGTCACCGACTTGCCCTCCTTGCTGCCCAGCACGGGGAGGGGGGCGGCACACATCCCATCCCACGAATGAGCTTCTTATCAGCAAAAGATTACAACAACATGCCGTTTGCAGTATGTGGCAAGCAGCGCAATCTGCGATCAACCTCCATACTGCAGGTCGCACCACTTATGGCTCTTTCCTCACACTGCTCTCCTCTTTCCCTCCCACTCTCTCTTGTTCCAAGTTCTCATAGGCTCTCAATTCAAGAAACATGTGAAGGCTTCATCTATAAGCACGGATTCATTGTGGGCCACTGGACTTGTGGTCAGAACGTAGAAAAAAAACTGACCGTGTGGGTGTTGGTGTCACACGTGCAGTGGCGTTTCAATGTTGCATTCGTACAAACGCATGGCATCACGCATGTACACACTTGTGTAACATTCGGTTGCATGTGGTTTGTGTAGTACACATACCCTTGTCACGCATGTGTAATGACAGAGTGACCTGTCGGCCTGAAGGGGTAATTACGGTTATGGGAGTATTGCATAATACCTCTATAAGGGTGCGTATCTGGGGTAAAGGTGAAAGGCGGAGTTAGTCCAGAGACTCTGGGAATCTGCTCGATGGTTCTGGAAGGGGGCATGGCCAGAGGAGGGGCATGGCCAGAGGTGGGGCATGGCCAGAGGTGGGGCATGGCCAGAGGCGGGGCATGGCCAGAGGCGGGGCATGGCCGGAGGAGGGGCATGGCCAGAGGAGGGGCATGGCCAGAGGAGGGGCATGGCCAGAGGCGGGGCACAAATAAAGGGGGCTGAACGAGAGGTTCAGGTGCTGTTGCGGGTCCTGGGTCCTGGCTGCGTCACTGCTCGTCGTCATCTCTTCGGCTCCGACCATGTGGCTGATCTTTTGCAAGCCCATCTCCGTCACTGCGCTAGACGGACAGCAAGCGGAGCGTATGCCAGAGATGGGCTATGTGTTAGGATCGCCTACATGTAGCTGCGTTACGTAATGGATCGCCCCGTGTGCTCTTAACAAGAAGCCTTTGGATTTAAAGCTTTCGTGACTGCAGGGATTCATATTCTTGGTTCTTTCGGTAAAGTCACGTAGAAGGGAAACAATAAAATAATAAAAATATAAAACAATACAATTACCACGACGTTTTGACTGCAACACTAGCAATCGAAACGTCGTGAGAATTTTCTTGTTTTATATTTTTATTATTTAATTGTTTCCCTTCTATGTGACTTTACCGAAAGAACCAAGAATAAGAAGCCATCTACTCGACGTGTCTCGGAAGTCGCTCACCACACATGTACCAGCGCACACTGGTATCTCGATGTCATCTGCATGCACGGCGTACCAATGCGAGTACACGGTGTGCGCCAATGTCAGGTGTACATGCACCATGTGTCAATGGCATCTGTACACAGTGTACCAGTAAGGTGTGTGCTCTACGAGTGAAACATTCGAATACACATTTTGTACCACCGTGACCGGTGTGTAAGCCAAAGGTGTACCAGGGCGACACGTGCATCAGCCTCAAGTGTGTGTGTAGTGTGTGTACCGAAGTGACGTGCTGCACACGGTGTATAGCAGTGATATTGTGTGTGCGTGTGTACACAATGCATGCTCCCACCCGGCACGGCCCGTGCGGCCGATGCGATGCACGTACTCCTCCATGTGGCGTGGACAGTCATAGTTCAAAACATGTGTGATGTCGGTCACGTCCAGCCCGCGCGAGGCCACGTCCGTGGCTATAAGGATCCGCACGCAGCCTGCATACACGCATCCGTACACCACCACTGCTCCATGAACACCACACAACACCACGCACCACCATACACCACAGACATCACACAATAGGAAATGCCCACACCATGGTCACATCGTGGTCACGGCACACAATGGAAAATGCACACCGCAACAACTACACCACATCAGGTATTAAAAAAAACCTCATTATGCATTGTTTTAGAGACTTGTGGGTAAAAGTAAATGTAAGTCAAAATGCATTCTGTCTCTCCATATAAATAATATGTGCATCAGCATATTGGCTTTCCTGGCAAATGTTATCCAGCAATGTGAACACAAGAACCATCTGGACCAGTTCTACCTTCCGGGTCTCGTGAAGCTTGCTTAACAAATGCTGCTGGGATTGCGAGATGTGACCGATACCTGTGGTGTGAAGCCAACGCATTACGGATGACATCACAGCGCGGACCGCACACCGCTCGCCGAGAACCACTCCCACCAATTAACTGGTGTGCGTGGAGTTTCACAGGCTCTGGTTGCCTCCACAGGCAGCAAAGTGGACATTTCCACAGGGTTGTGACACAAATCAATATAGCTTGGATCTATGTATCGTCTGAACGTGAGTGCATCAAGACACTGCACAACAAAGTTGGGCGTGCATCACCAACGTGCGCCGTCTGCCAAGAAGCGGACAAAAAACGCCGAGCTTGTAGAGCGAGACCATTGCGATGTAGTAGGGGGGGTGGGGGGGGGATTTGGAGGCTGGAAGGAGAGGGGAGGGGAAGGTGGACACAGGGATGGGAGCAAATGCTCACCGCTGCGGAATTCACTTAGCGCCTGCTCTCGGTCGAACTGCTCGCGGTCGCCATGGAGACTCTGGACATCGAGGCCCATAAGGCAACACTTCGTGGAGAGGTGATCGGCCCTGCACTCATGGGTGTGCGCGTGTTGTGCAGACAAAGATCCCCCTATATCCATAGACTGCTGGGGAAAGTCATGTTAGCGAGCACCTATGAAGGCCAATATGGCACACGAGGGGGTGTGTGTACGCGTGTGCGTATATGCACATGCGTACTTCCACACATGCGTACGCACACATGAACATCAACTGCTGCTATTCGCTACTAAGTGACAAAGACATCATTATGGATTGTGCCAAGATAGGTGGTCTGTCGCAGGTCACAGGCAGACCCCCAGGTGTTGTGGGTTGAGAAGACACCTACACACACACTTATGTATAGACACGCACGCAAACACAAATATAGAATCACAATCCGAATTTAGACTGGAAGAATCCGATGAGCTATGAAGCTCTTTTTCACAGATCTCCAGTAGGGGCAGGTCAGCATAGGACTTGTTGTGCAAAGTGCTATTACAAAGCACCTATAAATAAATGGCACAACACACAAGGGCATGGGGGTGTGGCCAACACCACTCCTGGCTGCCTGTCTCAGTGCTGAATCACTGTGGGGTGAATCGACCACATGTCGAGTGCTTTCCCATTATTCCGAGCAGCTCAAAACCGCCTTCGATACAACGATGCGCTTTAGACCCGTCACATGCACCAAGACTCCGCAAGCCTCATTAGCCTCCGCTGCCACGACACGCTCGCCCTAGCGACTGCTGCCATCGGATGTGTTGCCATGGCATTGGTTCCCATGGCAGCCGTCTCCTTCTCCCCCAAATTGCCCGCCCCACCGAGCAAAAATTGGTTCAAAGCCAAAGACGCAATCCAAGGAGGGGGAGCAGAGCGAAGGCGCAAAGCCAACGCTTTGCGCACACGCATGACCAGACAGAACATGGAGATAGCACCCAGAATTACAGTGGAAACGCACGACACGCCACATCCTAAACAAGATGCATTCAGGAATATTTGTTTTATACATGTATAAAATGGCATGCTGCTATGGTGTCACAGTTGGCACACCAGAATTAAAATCGAAATGTCACTCGTTTGATATCCCGGTGTGGCAGTTGAAATGAGCGGGTTTTTAAAATCCCCCCCCCCACCTCTGTCTGCGAGTGATTTTGATCGTCAGCCTCAACACCACCGACTACATATGCCAATGATGTACTGATAGGCAAAGATTTGTACTCATTATCAGCCATTATCAATCCACTGGTGGATGACGGCCTCCCCATGCCATCGCCATTCAAGAGTCGCTTAGACAGCACCGCAGGCAGCACAGAAAATACAAGAGCAGCACGCACTAAATATTGCACCAAAATACAGCACCGAAGCATTAGGCACAGCATCACATGACACCAGCACACACCACATGTCTGTATCATTACACACAGTACCACCGGTGACGGCACCGCCTCTCGACAGATGCCATCGTGTCCTCACATGGCCTTTCGCCCCGTGAAGACGATGACCTTGTCACTGGGCTGCATGCTGGCAAAGAATTTGAAAAGGAAGTCCTGTTTGTCTTCGGGGTTCAGGACCACCACCTCCTGGTGCACCGAATGGACGGCCTGCAGCACAAGTGATGCGCACATGCGTGTGTATGTACGCATGATGAACTTTTGTACCGTACGTAGTCAGTTTTTCAGTTTTCTTTTTTTCAGCTTATTTATTTTGGTATAGCCCTGTGAGCCATTCGGCTCTTGAATCGGGTGCAACCACAACAAAACAAAAAAACGAACAAGAAAAACATCTTAAAGTGACTATGTGACTGTGCAAACAGAAAATCCATGAAAGAAAACAGCAAAAATATTCCTGAAAACCGTGCTAATCGGAGGTGTGGGGGGGAAGGACAAACTGAACACAAAAAGTTTCTAAAGAAATACGTTTTCAATCTAGATTTCAAAGTGCATAGCTCCAGTGGCTTCCTAATATAGGACGAGCATTCCAGACGGCCGCAGAAGCGCACATGAAAGCGCACGATGCAGTGACCGTCTTTGCTCGATGGTTAGTTAAAAGCCGATGCAAGGATGACCGGAGTTTGCGTGATGGTTTATGCTCCTTGACGACATCAGCAAGGTATTGTGGTTTATTTGTAGACACACAAGCAGGTGGCTGGCAGTAAGTGCACCGCCCCCCCCCCGCACAGCTCGGTTGAAAACCCATCAGCATGCAGCGGAGGGGGGGGGGGAAGCCTGCGCAGTGCACCAACACAGACAGGCAGCGTGAGCCCCAGTGTTCCGAAGCTTCAAATGTGGTGCGCATTGCATGTGGAGAACCGTGCATCTCAGCACAGGTGAATTCAGTGGGATTTAACGACCACAATTGTCATTCGTTTACCCATCATTCACAGCCCCTTGTACAATCCACTGCTGGATGTATAACTCCGTATGCTGTGTTGATCATGGGTGTTGTTTAGACTATACTTCACCACACTGGGTCAAGTAAAGTCAACTTTGTGTAACCAGGTGAGAACGCAAGAGACAAGGATAGTCTAATTTTAAAGAGTCACCCGAGTCAATGTGGGGGGTTGGCGAAGAGGGGAGGGTGGCCCATGACCATTTCAGATATCACTCACCACAGATGTGTCGTGAATGGAAATCGAACTCACACTTCAGGGGGTTTCGCAGGCACAGTGCACGAAAAATGGCACACTGATCAGAAGCCGGAACACTGAAGTTATCATACAGTACCACATCTCCGTATTCCCGCGTTGCAAGACGGGAGAAGCGATCGCCACTCACCGCCAGATTCAAGGAGCCGACATAGACGAGCACCGGGTCCTTGAGGTAGGAGCGCGCAAGACGCCTCACTCCGGGCGGCCACGTCGCGCTGTGCAGATTTGCATGTGCAGACAAACGGATGCGTGCATGCGAGTAAGCCGTTTCGTTCAAAGCCACTGCGTAGAATTTCGCGGCTGCGCTGCATCGCTCTCCGATGCGTTTTAGATTTGCGCCGTGTTATTCAGCACGATGTGCAACTTTCTGCTCCACATAAAAAGAAGCCTCTTCAGTTTCTGAACTTACCGAAGAAGCTCCTAGCAAGTGCTCCGAAACAGACATCACACGGCACAACCCAAAAGCACACTCTCGAATTATAGTCGTGTCTACTATCGAGCTTTTTTTGTATCTATTGCATTCCATGATTAAATGTACGTGGATAAGAAACAGTCACAAATAACAGGTGTTGTAGGGAGCAGGGCTCCATGGCGGACGGCAGAAGGTTGCGCATGGGGAAACGCCCGCCGAAGGGGGAGAACGTTAAGATGGCGGCGGAGGTGGCAGCCAGATCACCTAGTCATGGTAGTTTGCCTGTCTGGCCGCACGTCCAGAAGGATTTTCATTATCTGCGGCTCAAAGCCCAGATCCAGCATGCGGTCAGCTTCGTCCAGCACCTGGGGGCACGGCAGGGATAACGACGACGACGAAGAAACCATGAAATGAGCATCAACAATCATGCACAGCGTTAATTCTTGTCAAGTAAATGAGTGTGGTCACATCTGGAGTGATTATCCTAGTTCCTACCCCGACTTCTGCCTGAACGACAACACAGTGATAATAATCATGGTAAGGCTTTGTGTTTCTGCACCACTGCGAACAGTTCCAAATATTATGATTATTTTCTTTATTCAACCTCTCATGTAATAAGGAACCTGGTTGTACTATCCAGCAGCCAACGTGATGTCAGGCTGCACATCATGAGGATTAGGGGGAGCACGAGGAAGATTGGCGCTCATTATTTCACCTACTGGTGACGGTGCCGGGAATCGGCAGCTCTCACCAGATAAGTGATGCCGCGCATGCTGATGTGCCCGTTCATCATGAGGTCGTTGAGCCGTCCAGGTGTCGCGATGACAATGTCCACACCCCTGGTGGCGATGTCGATCTGCTCCCTGCGGTTGCCCCCGCCGTAGATGCACACGCTGCGGGTGCACGACCACACAAAATGCATGGCAGCGTTTTATGCCAAGTTCACCCGTCAGAGGCCCAGCTCATATCTCAGAAACCCATCACCGGTGATGTGCATGCGTAATAATCGCAAGGTACATGTACAAACTCTTTTGTCAACTCACTGCTGGTTGAGAGCCTCCGTACATGTCAGTCTGACCATACATCAATATTTTGGTCAGTGAGAGTCGAAGGTGTGCGGGGGAGGGGAATAGGAAGGTGTTGGCCAGGACAGTTTAAAATATCACTAGCCACTGATGTTTGCCATGGTCAGGAATCAATCTCAGATACCCCAGTCACTATCATGGAAGTGAAACATCAGGACCACCCAACGCTTGTTTGAGCAGGAAGGACCAAACCGACGTTTAAGCGTTGATGTGATCAGTAACGACCGATGACGTGAGCACTTAATTCGACGATTATTATCGATGCGATCGGTGGAGATTTACAATGTGCGTGACCGATCCGACGTTTCATTGTTGCTGCGATCCAAGTGATTTATTGTTGAGGCGAGCGTTTTGATCGCCGACGCGACCAGCGGCGACTGAACGTGGATGCAGTCCGCGCAATTGATGTCGTGGGTGTTTGGCCGCACGTGGGAGGCTCTCGCCTGGTAATTCCCTGGTACGAGTATTTGCTGCACTCCGATTTGATCTGCAGGGCGAGCTCGCGTGTCGGCGTCAAGATCAGCATTCCCGGGCCCTCCCGCTGCTCCCGGGGTCTTCCACCGCAACACAGGAAGTACGAGGTAGTTGGGGGGAGGCACATGGGAACACTCAGCAGGTGCAGGAGGTGGCCCCTAAGGCCCATGACCAAGGGGCCGGAAATGCCAAGAAACCACCAGTGATTAAAAATGAGTTATCAAGTCTACTGAATTGATGGTCTTAACCGGATTATCAAAGTCTGCACAATGAAACAAATCGTATTAAAATTTAATTTGGGTTTTCATCAAATATCCCTTGTTTCAGTAACAGCATTTTTTGGTTGGATTGATATGCAAATAAAAGGTATGCCACTATGCGGACAGATGGCTTTTAAGTGACCATTTTCACCATTAATTATCCAACACAAGATAATTATCTAACACAAGATGGTATGCACTCCGGAGGGGTCTGAATGAAAACCTCTTCATCTTGTGACATGAACACGATAACACAATTGTAATTTAAATTTTCAAAATATACAATTTAAAATATAATTGAATGGACTCTTTTCAACCCATTGATCAAGGCCACTTCACACCTCATATGCCATACTTCACTACGCTGGTCAGTACACATTTGAGAACGGTAGGCCCAAGGACTGATTGAGATATCACTAACCAGTCAAGTTATCCATAGCTGGGCATAAAAATTCTAGTTACCAGGTTCCAAGTGCAGCGTGCTAACCACTGCGCCACTGCTCCAGCCATTTACGAAGCGTATGTGACCACAACTCAAACTGCTGTGCAAAACATAAAATCACAAGCAGCAGCAGCAGCGGGGAAACAATCCGCGTCGGAATGAGGTGCCTTTTGGAACCATATGCTTAGCATCAAGGGGGCACACAGGAACCATTTTAGAAGCAGATAGGACTCATTGGCTGCAGAGTGAGGTGTGTGGAGATACTGAGGGACTCGCAGAGTGAAACAAGAAGAGACTCGGGGACTCACATTGGCTGCAGGGTAAGGTGAATGAACCCTGGAAAGAGGAAGGCGAGTGTTTTCCCTGTGCCTGTCTGAGCAATGCCCACGAGGTCCCAGCCCAGCAGAACCACGGGCCACGCCTGGCTCTATAAGGCAACAACGCAACAGCACAATAAACAATGTCTACTCAACACGAATTGTCATATAATTATATACGTTAAAACGAATTCCAGCCGTTTATCAACCCACTGCAATATGATGGCCTCCTCATGCCACGATCATCATGAAATGTTTGACCAAACTTCACCACTCTAGTTAGGCGTGGATGTATGCACGTGCAGTACAACGTGCAGTACAATGGATTTTGTGTACCTGCTGACCACATAGCCCCGCAGCCTTTAACAACCAATATGCATGGTAGTTATTCATCCAAGCACTAAGCTGAAGCCTACTTAGCTTCTGAAATCTGACATGATAGGGTGCACTCCAAGTGATTTAGTTATAGGCTGTCAGTCCCAGGCACTGAAATAAAATCCTTGAACCTGGACTTCAACAGGGAGTCAACAGCACAGATGGCTGGGGGAAGCAAATTCCAGACAATGGAGACAGTGAGGTTGGTCACTCATTTTCTGAGCAAAGATTGACTGGGGGCTTCAACACCAAACCATGGTTGCTGGAGCAGAGTCCATAAAAAGCAGCAGAGGGGAGAGGTAGGAGAGTGTATGGAGGAGAGTGAGATGAGAGGGGAGAGGTAGGCAGGGAACGAGTACATGGATGATATTTAAGATAGTGTGTCATCTTGAATTTGATCCAGGATTAGATTTGGGACCAGTGAAAGGATCAAAGTATTCGGGTGATGGTGATGAGCGAGGAGTCTGACATTCTGGATCATCCAGAGCTTGATGAGGGATTTAATGAGATCGTAGAGGAGACCATGAGAATTGCGGAGTTGAGACATAACGCAGGTACGGGCGAGGGTCCTCGGCAGTAGCCCTGCTAAGGAAATGGCCAATGTGAGAGATGCTGTGCAGATGGAGGCAGGGGATCCAGCAGAGTAAAATTCTTCTATTATAAAAGCCCAGTATTCTGTTTATCCGTCAACTAAATTAGAAGAGCCTTTCAGAAGGGATGATAAAAAAAAGTTATAGAAAGTGGACCCTCCCCAGATGTGGGGGTAAAAAGTTAATCTAACAGGTTTCCAAAAATTGTCGGACCCCCCCCCCCAAATTTTTTTTACTCAGGGCCCCACCGCCGATGCTCCGTGACGCGCCAACCTGTATGGGTGAAGGCGTGGTAAATCCTGCGCGACAGATGTTGTCCAAGATGTCGGGGAAGTGCTCAAAGGCGTCCGCAAACGTGCGCACAGGGTTGGGTATGCTGCGACCCCCCTCCTCGCACATGTCCACCACCGAAATGTTATTGTTGCTCTTCCTAGTGGCGAGTAGAGGCCGGAAAAAAACAGAATACAAATGTTGTTGCCTAATCTTCACCATTGTTTTGCTATGCAGACAGGCCATCATCTGAAACGTCGCCTACTAGATATTTTCCCTTTTAAGGCTAGTGTTCGTGACAATCTTGAGTTAATGTGTGCTTATGCACCACTGCCAACACAGCATCACCGAATAATTTAACATTGCAGATATGGGCAGTTTATAAATTTAATTTAAATGTAATTTAATTGCATTCGTAGCTTGTAATTGGAAACTGAATTACACACTTCAAAGTAATTGGTAAATTGTATCTAAATTACACAAGACGGGGTTCATTGGTAATTTGTATGCGATTAAATATTTTCCAGCAATTAGAATGTATTTTGCCCATCTATACACAGCGTAATGAAACACCGGACCACACACCCACGTGCTTGACGCCACTACCACATTGCGTTCACCAAACCGGGACAACCTCTTCCTAGATGAGGCAACCCCAACTCGGCCAAGCCATTCTCTCTAAAACATATCAACACCATCTAAACTAGGCCCACCACACAGAAAGCCAGTCTGTCGCCTCCAGATTAGACAATCTATATATACACACACAACGTTGACATCTACCTAATGTTGTCCTCTAGACCAGGCCATACTTCTGTAGACCATTGCACCCAAGCGCAGAACACCAGTGTCTAAACCAGCGTTCTTTCTTCTTGGTTCTTTCGGTAAAGTCACGTAAAATGGAAATAAAATACAAATAAAACATAAAATAAAATTATCACGACGTTTCGGCCACAGCACAAGTAGCCTTCTTCAGGTGAAGAAACAGGTCTTTCCAGAAGACAGAGCTTGAGTGAACACTGTGAAGCATGGACCGCGTTGTTTTAAGCTGTGCGGGCAAAGTTAACATATGAATTAGCATGTTACCCAGCCCCACCTCCAGAGCGGAGGAGGGTGGCGCAAGACCCGCGGGCTATGTGCAGCCCCGAGGGCAGTCCCCAGTGAAGCCCCCGACAAAACACAAATGTGAAAACACCCCATCGTCCTGTCAAACCCAATAGTTTCAAATGTGGGGCAGCCTTCCCAACTATGTCATAAGGTGAAAGTGGCCCTCTGAAAATTAGTGACCAACACTGGTCTAAACCAAGCCATCCTCGTCGAGACCAAGCCATCTCCCTTCAGATCAGACCACCCCTATCGTCTCCCTTGGGACTAAGCCACCCTTCTCTCGGCATCACATGGCACAAACCTCCACTCGACCACCTCCTCAGGGCTCATTCTGGTCACGCTCGGCGACTCAAAGTAGAAATTCTTCTTGATGGGAGGACAGTCTGTGGATAGGGAGGGGAGGGATTTCAGGGTGTGGACATGCAGATGGCTGGACTCGCCGACCCCTAGAGGTCTTGGATGGTCCGTGTTCGTGTGCGTGCGTGCATGTTGTCTGTGCGCGCACCATTCCACTTGAGTGCCACAAAGTCGGCCTGGCGTTCGTTGATGCTCGTCCAGTCAATGCACTTCCTCGGGGGATTTTCGGTGTCTTCAGAGGCAGCGGCTGCACCACTCGACCTCGTCCCGCCACCACCAGTACCACCAAAGCTACCACCTCCACCACGAAAGCTACCACCTCCACCACGAAAGCTACCACCTCCACCACCAAAGCTACCACCTCCACCACCAAAGCTACCACCTCCACCACCAAAGCTACCACCTCCACCACCAAAGCTACCACCTCCACCACCAAAGCTACCACCTCCACCACCAAAGCTACCACCTCCACCACCAAAGCTACCACCTCCACCACCAAAGCTACCACCTCCACCACCAAAGCTACCACCTCCACCACCAAAGCTACCACCTCCACCACCAAAGCGACCACCTCCACCACCAAAGCTACCACCTCCACCACCAAAGCTACCACCACCAAAGCTACCACCTCCACCACCTCGACCAAAGCTACCACCTCGGCCACTAATGCCACCACCTCCACCAAAGCTACCACCTCCACCACCAAACCTACCACGACCACCTCCTCCAGACTCACCATGACTATCAACAAACCCTCCACCACCACCACCACCACCACACCCACGACCACCACCAAACCCACCACTGCCACCTCCAACCTCATTTTTACCACCTCCAAACCCACCACTACAAGCACCTCCACTCACACCACCACTATTATCACAATCTTCAGTCCCACCAGTACCTTCCCTAGCACCACCACTCGATACCGTTCTACCATCATCTCTAGTCCCACCGCCCCAACTTAATGCTAGGTCGCCCCTGCCCTCCATACCCCCCCTAACCGGTCCCCACCTCCCCTGGCTGCCTTGGTGACTCTTCTCTGCCCCACTCCCCGTGATATTGCGGATCAGGTTGCGGGCAATGCGCCGCGCGCCTGCGCTGCCCACCAGCTGCACGGTGCCCTCATCCCCATTTCTCAGCAGCTGCGGGTGGACGGGGAGTGGGTGAGTGAAGGTAAAAAACACAATGGCTTCAATGCAATACGATTTTTTTTTATATATATGCATTGAACAGAAATAGTGGGCATATTATTTATCACCCCAGTAATTCTGATCCCTCCATTGGCTCCGGATCCAAACCCCAGATCAATTTGGGTGCCAGTGTGACACAGTGGTAACATTTGTTTGCACTTCACAGCAAGAAGTCATTCGGTTCAATTCCTGAATTGGGCACCTTTTTGTGTAGTTTGTATGTTCTCTCCCTGTTTTGAATGAGTTTTCTTTGGGTTCTTCAGTTTCCTCCAAAGCTAATGTTGTCTGGCACTCCCTTCCCCCTTCACATTTGTGCTGTCAACTCCGTCCAAGTCCAGGCTCAAAATCTTCCTCGTGACCACTCCCTCTGACTGTGTCTCTCTACATAAACTAAATATTCCATGGTTTCTTTCCAGCATCTTAATATCCTGTCGCATTTAAACGCAATATAAATCAACATTGTATTGCCAGGCAGCAATAGTGGTTAAGTAGGATTTTTTTAATACAATAATTTGGGCTGGGTTTTTGGTCCAGTGCTAAAAATGTACATTCGTACTAAAATGGAATCAGTCAACAGGAAGCACAGATGTGGGCTGGAGCAGATCGGCCCCCTTGTTGGAACGAACACAGGAACATCCCCAACCTTAATCCGCGCTCCGCTCAGCTTCTCCAGCTCCTGGATTTTGCTGCCACCTCTTCCTGCAGGGCACAGAAAAAAAACTCGTAAACCAGTCAAATCCCCCTGCCATTTCAATTTCCATTTGCCGACCCGAGTGGAAATTTCACTACATGTTTAATAAACACTTTTTTGTCAATCCACTTTTTGGATAAGGGCCTTCCAGCACTGTGGGACATTGGGGCTTATATATTTCAAAACGCGGGTAAGTGCAGATTGGTGACAGTGGGGGGCATAGACATTGGGAGCATATATGTACAACAATGGAATTTGCTGCTCTTCCCCTGCTAACGTAGCCCCAGCAGAAACCTATAAAAACCATGGCTGGTGATTGCTTATCTACCATGACCCAATGAGATTCTCTTTTGTCAACCAATTATGACTAATTTAGGTAAACAATTTGTCCATCCTTTCCTGGTGTCGAACATACCCAGACGCTGACTTTCACATCCGTGCTAGGATGGTGTTGACGGTGCAATTATTTTTTACGTGCAAACCACTGACCTGTTCCATAAATAGGCCATATTATTCTAAAACTATAATTCCCTTTAAAATGACACGCCCATATACTAAAGTAGGAAATGTTCAACAGTCCGGTTGTCTAATTTGTGCAAGTGGCCTGCCACGAACTGGCTTACGGATTCCTCAAGCTCTCAGGCCACATCAAGTAAACATGGGGAGGTAGTGGAGACCGTACCGATGACCCGCCCAACATCGCTGACATCAATGGAGAAGCTGAAGCAGCCACCGTCATCATCGCCATCATCTTCGACGTCACTTTTGTCGATTGAATGCGGGCACTCTGACACATACCTCTCGTGCCCATGGACTACACACACACACAAAAACAAACATTCCACATATAGCCTTTAACATACTGTTGGGGTAAGTGCAGTTAAGCAAGCACAGTACATGAGGGTGGGTGGCCAACACCACGCTCAGGCAACATAGGCGAGGCCGAGGACCGATTCAGATAATCATCACCAGTGCTAACCTTGAGTTGGAATCACAGTCAAATATCCCCCATATTGTTGTAAAGACTGTGGAGGCAAGCGTTTTTAGCGAGCATCTATGAGAGATGATAAGTAATATGAGGTTATGAGACCATCACCACACCTGACCACCTTTGTCTCCCCAGCACTCATGTTTACACATGCCACTCGGTACTTGTTTAAGGCCGAGTTGACCGAGGGGAGGCCCTGGACCGATTCAAATATTTGACAATGTTAGCCATGAGTGGGAAGTTAACTCATATTACCGCATTCACAGCGCAGTGCACTAACTCCAACATTGCCGCTCGGCACAAAACATTAAAATAAATAACATTTTTACATTTCATATGAATAAACGCCTCCCCGAGCCGTTTATCATGGTGTCGCAATACAACAATCAATCTAGCTCCTGCACAAGAGCTGATGTACCGTAATGGCTTCATCACTGCAATGGCCATCCTCAGGCATGTTCCCTCCTTTGGCTGCCACTCCGTCATTAGTCTCAACCCCTAGCGATCACCATCCTGTCCAGCGATCTTTCCTGCCAAAGCCCACTTACATTTGGTTACGGTTAATATGCATATTTGACTTGTGTATATTCCCAAATCCATGAGTTCCTCTCTCCATCTCTGAACCTACTGTGCATTGATAAGGGCGTTTTCATGGAGCGCATATTACCTGCCAAGGCATGGATAAGAAATATTTACATTGACAGAGATATTAGCCAGGCGGTGGTGGTCACGCACGTTTTTAATCTAGCAATGGAGGAGAGCGTTGGTGGATCACACAAATATTGTGAAACGCCCTTCCCATGAGCATCGAGGTGCCATATCCTAGCTCGCCAGAAGGCAATACAGCAAACTGTGGATTCCATCTGTTCCATCAGTATGGGATAAGTCCATTTACACACGTGGGATTTCTCTGGGTGCTCCGGTTTCAAACCCACATGTAAGAATTCATTAATCGGCCGATAACACCTTAATGTATAAAGGACAGGAGAGCTTGGGCAATTGTTGGTTCGGACTCTCTGCGTGGCTGCTGCATTCCCCTTAATCGACGATTCCTCCTCAGGCCTCGTCGTTCTCTTTCTTGTCTTATTTTATATTTATAGAGCGCCTTCTCTCAAGGCAGTTAACATAGTCTAAAAAAAGGGAAACAAAATAGGATGATTTGAATTACATGAGCACGCAAGCATTGAGGAATAAGTGACCGCGATATACGAAGGGGTTGGGGAGGAACGGGAAGGAGTGCAGGGGCGAGGAGAGGGACTGGGAAATAGGCAAGCTTTTTTATGTATTGTTCTTTTATTTAACAAGAACCCGGTAAAAGGTGCAAACCCATAACAAGGGAGGGGGGGGGTACAGAAATTTTGCCGACCTAAGCCCGAACTCAGTGCTTCTGTGTTCTGGGTGGGTGGGGGGGTAAGCTTTAAGAGAGGAACAGAAGGTTAAGGAGGGAGACTACTTAATAATGTACAGCGGAAGTTTATTCCAGTGGAGAGGTGCAAGGAGGAAGAAGGACCGTAAACAGGATTGGGGGCACATGGAGGGACAGAGAGAGATGGCTGCGGGTGAAGAGAACGAGAGAGGGAGATTAGAGACGCGAGTGAGTGAGCGAATCCCGTGAGTTCGCGTTACATGTTGAAATTAATATCCGAAAAGTGTACAAAGAAAGCGTAGGTATATGCATGCACGGAATGACCAACATACCATACGTATACGGAGGGCCCTTCTTGTCAGCAGCTGCTGCCTGTAAAAGGGAAGCGTTTTAAAGGCAGTCACTGTAACGACACCAGGCTGACACATTGTCCCCTCTTCAAGCTTTTAATATCACGGGAGACGCATAATTATCCTTCGATGTATTAATTACACGCCATCCTTACGATCACGACACACGCATACGATCTTGCGTACGACAATCTATTTACGATGGGCCGTGGACCATATCATTTGAATATTTCTTGCGGAGGCGGCTACGGGAAGGATAAATTGTGCCCGCTTATTGTTGTTCTCTACAACGACGCTTCACAAATGGCTTTAAGTACTAATTACGGATTGCTATTTTCAACCTTTTTGTGGCTACACCCCTCCCCCATTGCCTGAACCAACATGGTTCTGATAAATGAATGCACGAATAATTAACATCAAATTGGTTAAATCTTGACTTAAAAAGCTTTCGTGACTGCAGAAATTCATATTGTTTGGGTCTTTCGGTAAAGTCACGTTCAAAGATAACAAAAAATAACAAAAACTACGACGTTTCGATCGCAACAGGCGTTCGTACGTGACTTTACCGAAAGACCCAAATAAAATAAAATATGTTCCAAATCGTCTATTTTGTGGGGTACCCTAACAAACGAGTAACTTGTATGATAATTTAAAAAATATATTAAAGGACTCACTCGCATGCGTGATGTCATTTTGTTCGGGCTCGCTGGCTATTCTTGGAAACCCCAAATTGTTTACGATAAATGAGTCTAGCAAAGTGTATTTTATATCTATTCTAGGTTACCATACGCATTCAAATGCTACCCGTAGTAAATTTTACATCGGCAGATGCGCACGATTACTGAGAAATGAATCGCGCAACGATAGAATTCCACAACATTGGCCCGCGATAAAAGGCCAACCGATTGACAACATTTAAACCAAATAAACTCCCCCCTCTGACGCTACTACTTTAGATAACCGGAGGTGGACGAAGAAAAACTTTAAAATAGTCAACAACAACAACAAACCGCACGACAGCCTCACCCCTCCAGGTTCGTCGCATTCCCAATCCGACATCACTCGAATCGGGTCCCGAGAGCGTCGGCGCAGTCGAAAACCGAACCAAGCATAAATCGCGAAGGTTACACCAACTTTCGTAATTTCGTCACTAAATTTTTAACTTTATATCCGGCACTGTATGTATTTATTTATTTCCCCCCCGCGTGGCTGATGGCGGGAAACCGACCACGCGCACGAACGGAATTCGAGCGCGCGCACTGGGGGGGGGGGAGAGGGGGGACGAGCCCGTAGAAAATACGTCACGTCGATTAGTAACAGATAAAGAGCGTGACGTCATTTTATTAAGTGGGGGAGAGATGACGTCATGTCGAAGTTACACACGTTATTCCACCCCAACCCCATTCCCCCATCCCCCCCCCAAATTCGCCAGGAATCTGCGCGGTGATTCCAGTACAATGTACGCAATGCATTCTGCTGCAGAGCATACGGAGGTGGTTTCATACCTGACAAACCCTTATCAGTGCCCTACTTTATTGCAGACCAATTAAGGACCTTATGGCTCTAGAATTTGATGTTACATGTTATTTATGTAGTTTATTGTAAAAATTCGGTCACAGCCCCTATGATCACTGTTACGTTGCAATTATGGATTTATTTTTTGGGTGATTTCGAAAACGTTTTTTGGTTTGGACATGCTTGTTTTGTTGTAGTACGGAGTTAGACTGATGGCCTTAATCTAAGTTGTCTTGTGGTTGTTGTTGTTTGACTTGCATCCCACTGCGATTTTTTGCACACAGCGTTGGTGTACGGTGCTTTTTCAGGAATATTTTGCTGATTTTTTCATGGATTTTCTGTTTGCACAGTCACATAGTCACTTTAAGATGTTTTTCTTGTTCGTGTTTTTGTTTTTTTGTTTGTTGCGGTTGCACCCGATTCAAGAGCCGAATGGCTCACAGGGCTACACCAAAATAAATAAACTGAAATTGAAAACTGAAAAAAACTTATTGGTCACCCCCGTGCCGCTTATAAATCTCAACGTTCATCCTACAAAGTCCCATCACATTGGAGAAACGCAAACAAATAATCAAAACACGTTTATTTAGCCCGCATGGACCTGAAAACTCAATTTCCCTGTCTTCTTGGTTCTTTCGGTAAAGTCACGTAGAATGGGGATAAAATAATAAAAAGAAAAAGATAAATTCTCACGACGTTTCGGAGGGAACACGAGCTTCCGTCTTCAGGTGGGACAGTCACAGCAACATCGCTAATCAAGTGGGGAGGCTCTGAGAGCCTCGAGCTTAAATACAGGTTAAAGGGGGGGAGGTGGGAAGGGCCAAGTGGGGGAGATTGATGGGGTGTGGGGCTAAGTTAATCATTCTTTTGTTCTGTTGATGGTGCGGTACGTCCGGTGGACCACTGCACGGGTGCAGTGGGAAAATTAAGTTAATCATTCTTTTGTTATGTTGATGGTGCGTAAGGTACGTCCGGTGGGCCACTCCACGGGGGCAGTGGGAAAATTTTTTGAGTTATACAATGCGTTACTGTGCACTACCCTATACTTTAGACTACAAAAATATTAGACTTGTAATATTACACTTTGTCTTATTCTGTCAACCCTAATGTATGACACACTGCTGTATATTCACTATATTCCACCTTTGAATTATACAACGCGTTACTGTGCACTACCCTATACTTTAGACTACAAAAATATTAGACTTGTAATATTACACTTTGTCTTATTCTGTCAACCCTAATGTATGACACACTGCTGTATATTCACTATATTCCACCTTTGAATTATACAGTGCGTTACTGTGCACTACCCTATACTTTAGACTACAAAAATATTAGACTTGTAATATTACACTGTCTTATTCTGTCAACCTTAATGTATGACACACTGCTGTATATTCATTATGCAATTACGATACTATATATTGCCTTATGAATTATGTTAAACATTATGATGCTGTACTAGTTTATTATTATACGACATGTTATAAACCATACCATTGACTGTTGTGTGAAAGATATCAAGAGGCAGTGCTAGCGAATGGACTGCGGTCTGAAGGTCACCGTAAAATACAATCAATTAAGAACTGAAATGGTCTATAACATCTTTCCAATGGTTACTAAGCCAGAATCCATCTTCTCGGTTGAAATTGTCTCTGTCTTTGTATATGTGGATGGCCTCATGAACGAATCTCTCTCCAAGACGGAGGTTCTTTGTCATCTGTATGACATAAGTATACCAAGTTTACAGTCGCTACCACATTGGGAAGTAGGTTAAAATTGAGTTACACGATTTGAGGATACAACAACGACGACAGACAGAGTGAGTTAAAAGAAAGCGTGTAAAAAGCAGCTTACTTTATGGAGACGCAGATGTATGAAGGAGACGAATTGTCTGCTTATATTTTGTGTTGTATACACGTTGGTCCAGATGCCCTGTGACATCCAATTAATTGACCACTAAACATTATCTTTGCATATTATTTAAATAGACCTTTACACTAAAAAAATATATTAAGTTTTAGAGATTTAAATGGAGATGGGAGTCACAAGACATCTTGACCACCCTGTATATTCCCAACAACGATGCTGGTGATTATTTTGTGTGAACTTAGTGTGATCGACACGGCGGGAAAATCCATTTAGCAGTAAAGGCACAGCAAACTAACTGTATTGCATATTTACACGAGATCGAAGTTTCGTTTATGAAATATAACTCGCATGTTTACGGTCACTTGTTCGATTACATAACTCAGATGATGTTACTCGCCGTCAAAGTAGTCAGAATCATCTGTATTTATACTGGAAGATCTTGATTTGAAGCTTTCGTAACTGCAGGAATCCATACTCTTTGGTTCTTTCGGTAAAGTCACGTAGGTAGAAAAATAAAACTTAATAAAAAATAATATATCACGACGTTTCGATCGCAACACAAGCGGTCGTCCTCGGACGGGAAAAAATAATCCAACAGTGGAACAGCAGTTATTTTGTTTTATATTTTTTTAAAATCCAGCAGTGGAATATCAATAATTTCTTTTTATAAAAAAAATATAATCCAGCAGTGGATCAGCAGTTCCACTGCTGGATTATTTTTTTTTCACCCGAGGACGACCGCTTGTGTTGCGATCGAAACGGCGTGATCTATTATTTTTATTTCGTTAACTTTTTCTACCTACGTGACTTTACCGAAAGAACCAAAGAGTATACCGGAAGAATCCGATGAGCTAAAAAGTTTTTTTTTTTACAGATGTCCAGTGGTGACATGACGAGACCGCTATGGCAATAAACTTATCAGTAAATTGAATCGTAAGGAAACTTGAATTCTTATCCGACAACCTGGGAGTACAGGCATATGCCACGCATGGGGGAAATTAGCTTCACTGAGATAATTTGTAGTGAGGCAGAGTAAATTAATTTGAATTGGTGACAGATCGGACACCGAAGAGGATGGCAGTATTTACTTAACATAAAAGCGAAATAATAAAACACCTCTCTCAACGTCCCACGAAATGTAAATATGCTACTGGACATGCGGCTTTTGAGTTAGATCGCGTAAATGTGTGTCGTTAAACCCGTCACCACCCGACAGCCAATTAGTAAGGTTTGTCACATAAACAAAACATTACTAGTGCAGCACACGGGTGTGTTGGAGAGTCAACCCACAAACATTTACAATTCGAGTACGACGTTTTGCCTGTAATTACACCAGCCTCATCGGGCGACTGCCAGAGTTGTGGAGAAATCCTCCTGTGGATAATACTGGTCGCGAACGCCTACGTGTTAAAAATGCAACTGGACGTCTGTGAAAGAGAGCTTGACGGCTCATCGGATTTCTCCAGTATATTGATTCTGAAATGTGTTGCTGACAACACCGGAGTGCTTGCGATGTGTACGCCAAGTTCCCAGATGGCATACCTGTCAAGGGGCCGTCCATAAATGACGTCACGCACCTGGGGGGGGGGCAGATATTTGTGACGATGTGTGACGAGGGGGGGGGGGTTGAGAATGTGACGTCACATCAAAATGCGCAACTTTAAATTAAATATAAACAACACGTTCTACTTCATACTCTTTGGTTCTATTCGGTGAAGTCACGTAGGTAAAAAATAAAACAACAAAAATCACGACGTTTCGGCTACAACGCAAGCGGCCTTCATCAGGTGAAGAGATCAGGCTGTCTCGAGGACAGCGCTGGAGTGAAACACAGTCACGCTCAGACCGCGGACCTTTAAGCTGTGTGCGAGGAAACAAGGTGTCCTGACAAAGGAATTAGCATAAAAAAATAGCATTTGATTGGCCGACTTTAGCATAGAGGTGGTGTACGTGCCGGTGGACTTGCCGTTTGGCGTGAGGGGGAGTTTACCTATTGATGGTGTGAAAAGGGAATTTTTAAGAGCTGGGAAAGTTTGCGGTACCACTACTTGAAAATATACTGTACCATTGAAATTAGTTTAATGTTTAGTTCGATTTAGAACATCTTTCCAATGGTTGCTTATTAAATAGACTTGATAAATGTTTTCTCCTACAACATCAAACTGCGGTGCCACATTAAATACGCACTACAATGACAATAGTTTAAAGCGATTTGAAGCATGTTTTATTTGGGGGGGGGGGGGGGGCAGAGCTATGTGACGTCATATTTGAGGGGGGGTCTGACTTTTTGTGACGTCGTGTGACGAAGGGTGGGGGGGGAGGTCAAAAATCGTCAAAAATCGCGTGATGTCATTTATGGACGGCCCCCAACCCCTTATCAGTGCCTACCTGATTACAGAACAATTCAGACCTTATTGGTCACCCCGTGCTCTTATAAATCTCAACGTTCATCCTACAAAGTCTCATCAGAAGGGAGAAACAGACAATTTATTTTTCCCTTGTTGAAACGTCTGTACGCCGTATGGACATAAAAAACTCAAATTTGCCTGTACGGATAAACCGTATGGGTTGTCAGATATGAGTTTGTCTTTCTCCCATATAGGCAAGACCCTGACCCTTGCCGATCTCATGTTCGACACTCAAGCGGCGATCACGAACACTGCCTCTGTAGCCGCAGCACCGTCAGTCAGGCTGTCCCCCACCTCATTACGTCCGCCCCAGAACAGGCTGATGAATATGCACATTCACTGAACATCCCTTCGAAAAGTGAATCTTTACATTGATTTCCAATTGCACAATAACGCTACAATTGGTGTGTATAAAGCATCTTTATCACCTTCCGGTGGAAAGTTACAGCAAAGCAATCGCTTACCCCTTTTCTGCTGTTCAAATG